GTCGAAGCCGTAATCTACCACCGCAAGTACAAGGGCAAACCGCAGTACAGGATTTGGTGGCTAGGCGAGACCAAGAAAGAGGCCACGCGGGAACTTGTTGAGAATCTGAAACAGATCCCTGGTCGTATCGACCTCTATTGGAAGTCCAAGAAGAGAGAGAACCTTTTTTGGGGGAGCTCCTTCTCGAGGGGAGGTCATGTGACGGAGTGCTGTCATTCACACTCTGTCAGGCATTGAAGTGCCAGATGTATATTCTACATGTATCCACAATGTGATTGGCTAAAACTAAATTCTAGTAATATGCACACTGAGAAATTGAGAAGGTCTCATTGGCTGGAAATCGGAATATTCTCGAAGCTTGATTACGGGACGCCAGAGAATCAAGTCAACAATGCTACGTGGAAGTTGATAAGAAAATCATTGGTAGATAGCCAAATCAATAAATAGGAAGCAATAGGTTCTAAGATACACTCTTCTGGATTCTTAGGAGAGCACTGTGAGCCACCCGTAGGTTCCAGGTAGCCGTAAGAGCCCTCTTCTTTTCAATTCTCTTCTCGATGTACCAAACAACCCTCGGTGGTCCATCAACGGGCCACGTCTTGGTTCTTCACTTTGCCGGTCTACGTCTCGGCACGGTCTTCTACTCAACGCCTCCTCACGTTACTATGTGACATATTACAATCAGCATCATTTACCACACGTCCCTAACTTGTTGGCTTGAGCAGTTGAACAATGGAGAGGATAGGTCGAATACTGGGTGAATAGGCTTGCCCGTGTTCATCGACTCCCGAGCAGCATAGAAATCACGAATAAGCCCGTTTATTGTGTGTTTGTATCTGTAAGCGAGTATGGTTTCCATTCGTGCCACAAATTCGATGGCCGATTTGTACTGTGTGTGTTGTTCCCTAAAAGAGTTGGAGATAATCGATACTCGATATGATTCTTCGTTGGTCGAGTCGATGAGGGGAGTAGATGAAAAAAGCTGGCGTCTGGATGATCTGAAATTTCTTTGGGTCGCATCCTTTCTTCGTCACCAATCACTCTTTTCTTTGGTCATAGATCTTGCGCTCTCAGCTGGCAATTGGATGCATCCTGCTGATAATTTCGGAGAGTATGAGTCGTGGTGGAAAGCGCCGCCAGGATGTAGACAAGTAGAATCATAGCAGCAAAGATGCAGTATGAAGGAGAAAGCTGGTACGCGCATATTGATCAAGATGAAACTTATTGTAGAATGATGCTGCTAGAAGGATTGAGCGACAGTAAAATGAATGGTTTCCACGTGTTTCAACAAATAGATACGATGCTCATAGTCCGAAAATTTTGCAGTCTCCTCTATGATCACTCATATAACTTTTATTTCATCTCACCGGCAAAAACGTAATATTCCACTTTCACTGCTATTCGAGCATTAGCATGACGGTACGTACGATTTTTTTACCGCTGTGGCAGTTAATAAGATTGTGTGTTCACAGCAGTTTTGAATTACGCAAAAATAATTGAAGTGTTGGTAAAAACGAAAGTCTCTCGCCCTATCATTGCCAAATTTTTCCGAATACCTTTGCCGTGATAATATACATTCTGGTCAGTAAACATCACACGAACGAGAGGTCGTTCGATACCCTTTAAACGTTGAGTAATTAAACTATGTTCTTTGGGCGGGATTCATGAGAGTTCAGCCACTACGTATTAACCGCTGGCTAATCTGGCATCCTTTTCTGCATGAACAAAATGTACTACTTATCCATGTAAAATAAACAAAACCGCAACATTGTTCTTCAACAATATTGAGCAGATTAATCTCAACATTCCCACTCCTTATTGATGCTTCTTGAATGCAAGTGATGTAAAGCCATACATTAAGCCTTCGTCGAGCTGAGTGCAACTGTCCGCAGGTACTTTGAGGTGCAGACCAAGGGCTAGTCAGCAATCATGACCGCAACTCCTGGTACCGGACGTCTGTCATCGGGATAGCTACCCCAATCAGGATGTGAATATGCCTTAATCGCAATGTTACCACTTGGTATGCGATACTGGTTTGCCATTCACTCTTCAGGTAGCGTAGTACGCAAATAGCTGAAACCTAATGTTGCAGCCTGGGGTTCTTCAGGAATCGTGACACCAGAGTTGTCAGGTATGTAGCATCAGGTCGAGTACAGCAGTATGTACAGCAGGCACTCTTTCAAAGATCGAAATGATCTCGAGTCCATCCGTAAATGAAACTCTTCCGTTGCAGGCAACGATGGTGACGATAACTTCAATCCTGATGCGCACGGGTTGTCGATACTCTTGGAATCTTGTTGGCCGAATCGTCTGACCAGGTCGTCAATGTAGCAAGTCTGCTTTGATCATATGGGTTTGGGCTGACCTGTTGTGGTACAAGATGAGCTCCACCTGGCCTACTCCTAAATTTTGAAAATATTTTAAAAGCCTCCTTGACCTGATTGATCTCCCCACTTATTTTTCTGTATCAATCATGTCATTAACTTATAGTCAAGCGTAGATTTAACATTTCTGTATTGCCTGACACAAAGGCAATGGTCCCCTCCGCAGCCCTTAAAGCCATTGTTTTAAAAGACACGATTTATTATCTTGTTTCAGGCACCTGCTGCTTGTTTCATCCCATATATAATTTGTAGAGTTAGCAAACGTATTCCTGACCACTGTCGACTTCCAGAGAAAACTCCATCAAACGTTGTCTGTCAGCATACTGTTCAGGAAAGCCGTATCGACATCCAGCCGTTCCATTTGGCAGTCGCAATCGGCACACACTGCATATACCATCCGAATTTAATATCATTTTGATCCTGCACATGGAGGCGAACCTCTGCTGCAACGGATCCACGCCTCTTCGCTTCAACGGCTTTATATAACTTCGCTGCATCGTCGCTCGCCATTGCTTGAGCATATGTAGCCGGAAAGTCCATATCACCTCATTTCTGTTTTCATGAACAGCATCAACAATGTGTTTGCATCGTTAATCCATGCACGTTTTGGTGTCGGTGGGACAACATCTTCTTCTGTTGCCCCATCATCATCTGACCCGTTTTGCGGCATAATATTATGCTCATGTCTTCGTCTTGTCCCCACCACTTCAAGCTGAAGCGCCAACTGATCTTCTTGAAGCGAATGAAAAGATAAGCGATTATATGCTAGCTCTGATATGTTTTCAGCAAAGTGCTCGCAAGATATCAGCTACCACATTGTGTCACCCACTTTCGTCCATTTCGACGTTGTGACTGGTTCTCCGGCTGTTTTCGTGGGTGTCTGTCGATCCACCTGATTTCGAGCATAATGACCATCAACATTCTTTATAATTACAATCGTCACATCTACCTGTAGCGCATTTGCATCGAAATAACCACCTAACTACCCCTCATCCAACCTCATAGAGGCAATTAATCCAACCTTGGCGTTTTCCAGATCAAAACCGAGATAATCCATGACATGTTCCGCATAACAGCAGAACTTTTATTTGACACTCGTGGATTCGAGCTTTGTTCTCTTTGCATTTGACATGGGCGCAACTTTAAGATCCGAGCACACGATAGTGGTCTATTCGAGGCGCTTCAATTTTTAAATATCAACTCAAGTGGCGTGATGTACAAATGGGCTGTAATCGTCGGGCGACAAATCTAATCATCTGCTGTTTTTACTGCTTCATTCCAACCATTCAGTTAAAGTTATATTTGAAATAAAGCATAATACGAGCCTTTCATTAATATAGTCCTGTTCATGCGCTCTGCCATCCCATTTTGCAGAGGGCTATATGGAACAAAATATTGGTGATCGATGCCGCTTCGACGACACACGTCTACCATCGTTTTGTTCACAAATTCTATCCATTGTCGGATATCAAGCATTTGAGACCCCATACATTTTTGTAAAACGGCTTAAACTTCTTGAAGCTGTCAAATAATTCATTCTTACTCTTGACAAGGAACTCACACCATATCATGAAAAATCATCCCAAAAGAGATATAGTTTGCACCTCCTTTGACGGAACCTTCGTTGGGTCATTATATCTGTGTATACGTGCTCCAGAACGCGTAGCGTCTTGGTCATCGAGTGGGAGGAAAATGCTGTGACTGTATCGTGGAACTCTAAATAGTTGGATACCAATAAACGAGTCGCACCAACTGGTGGCACTTCTCAGCAGTCTGACGGTAGAATTTAATTTGTTCTTATCAATTCTAGAGAATGTAAAGAATATCACATTGATTGAAGTGAAAAGAGCTGTTCAAAGAATCAGAGAAGGTGCACAGAAAAAAGGCTACGGATAATGCGTTCCGAGTAATTAGGAATGCTGGAAAATTAGAAGGTCGACAGAGGCAACGTTCGAAAAGGTAGTGCTACTCGCAATGACGAAATACAAGAGCAGGTATTTTCACTGTGACTAATTTGGTAATGTAAAGCGATAACGTCCGGTCGGAAGCGTGTCAGCAATGATACCTCGGTATTCGCAGTGGGTGAAGGTCGATCGGCAGGGTGCCAAACGATAGAGGTGCCACATTCCACAGGCCCCCGCTCAGTGAGAACTGGTTTGAATACAAGGACCTTGACGCATGCATCAAACTGACTATTGTAGTTTTCAAAAAAATATATACTCGTCAAAACGCCGGCAAAGGAGATTGATAAGTTTGAGTGGAAAGGCACTCGCATGAGCGATGTTTTTATGTCCCAGTACTTGACAAACAATTATTGTCGGTGGCAACCTTGCAGAACGCGGTATGTGTAAAGATATTTTTATATTCTTCATGTGTTATCTGGATAAAAGTGAAGGCGATTGATCGAATTTATGAACCAATAAAGCGTACAGGCTCGACTAAATCAGGAAGAAGCATATTACGCGGAGTATTCTATATTTAACACTCGTTGAGAGGTTTGGCATGCGCGCATAAGACACCGAACAAGGGATAATTTGCTTAAGACATAGCGCTTGACATAAGCCATCTCGATAATAGTGCCGAGATTTTATAGGATAAACTTCCACCTGAGGAGTGGTAACTACTACCACTTTGATTTCTGTAAAAGGATGATTCAGATCCTTTGGGGGTGTCATAACCGTAAATGATGAGAGCGATATCACAGAGTCGTGGCTTGTAAATGGTAAGGTATTAGGTATCATCGCGCAAGGCGTTGGAAATAAAATCAGACCAAGGAACGATCGGCAACAATTGTCATGGAGGAGTGTTGAACACTACGTAAATTTTGCAATCACTCCGAACTAAAAGATTGCGTGACGTGAGCGTGACGATTCCATTACTTTATAAAGGTTAATGGTACTAGACTGGCGGAACATCCTGTCGAATTTCAGTCGATTTTTCGTGACGGCTTCTGCATGTGAAGCATGACGAGCGTTGCGTGCTCTCTTCGTGAACCAGTCACTGCATAACCGTGTGCAATTGAGAAAAGAGCTGCATGAAATTTGGCTTGACACGGGAGGAGATCTGATGAAGCATATCGTGCAGTTTGATGATCTGTGTTCGCGATTGACTGCGGTAGGCGAGGTCGTGTCTGAGGACGAGAAACTGGCCGTTTTCCTTAGAACTTTACTTCAGGAGTATGATACAATTAATGTTTTATCGAGGCACACGAGAACGTGATGTTGCTGGACGCAAAAGAGATGCTACGTCGTGAGTTCGAGTTGGCTAAGAAGAGGGAGGAGAAAGAGCAAGCAATCAAGGCCTCAATGCGCGAACGAGGTGTCCAGTTGGTCGTGGAAGAAGAAACAGAGGACAACGTGGTGGTCAAGGCGGCCGTGGTAGCCATGAAAGTTACAATGGCGGCCGAGGACAGCACCAAAAAAGAACACTGGTCCAGCGTTTCGTGGGTATTGCTTTACTGCAAAGAGGACGGTGACAAGCGTGACGACTATACCGAGTTGAAGAAATTGGAGAATAAGCTTGCTTTCTCGGTCACAATGGATGGCTCAGCACGAGAGGTTTCCTTGTTTCTCGATAGTGGTGCGAGAAGCCACATGACGGGTGGAAATATTGACTTTGTGGAGTAGCAAGAGTTAAAGATGCCAAGCATCATCATTGTGGCTATTGGACTGCAATTGCTAAAGAGATGAAAACGAGCTATATGTTTTGGTGTCGGAGCTGCACAAGCGATCAAATTGACGGACGTTTTGCATGCCCCAACTGGATAGGAAGTTGGTGTCCGTTCCGGCGTCGGCGGAACGGGGCGTTGTCGTGCAGTATGAGCGCGATTAAGCGACGCTCGAAGTGGCTGGAGAAGCACTAGACGTGATTCATCAAAACGGTGAGCTGTTCATGTGGCTTTTACAGCGGCTAAAGGGACAACAAGCCGTCTAGGCAGCTGGCACGCTCGACTGGCCGTATTTCCGCATCAAAGATGCAAACTGCTGCAAAGATAAGTAAAAGACTACCTGGACTTCAATATGAAGAAGATCACGTGCTCGCTAATTTTGTTGGCTGTGCTTAAGGCAAAATGACGACGAATCCGTTCGCGCGATGTTCCGGCAGGGAAGTCAAGACTAGAAGCTCTGTGTAGATCGTACACACTAATGGCATGGGCCCAATGAAGCCCAAATCGAAAGGTGGAGCCTTGTATGTGCCCACATTAATCGACAACTACAGTAGATACGTCTACGTGTATCTGCTGTCTTTGAGAGCACAAGTTTCCGATCGTTTTTGCTAGGTCAAAGACCTCGCAGAAAACCGAATTGGCAATAGGTTAAAGTGTATCTGTAGCTATGGCGAAGAAAAGTACATCAGTGCGAATTTTAATCGGTTTTGTGCCACCAACAGCATTGTGAATCAAACAAGTGCTCCGTATTCCCCGCAGCAGAATGGTTTGGTGGAGAGAATGAGCACACGTTGATTTAAATGGTTCAATCGATGATGTATCCCATGTAGACATGAAGCGACACTGGTGGGGAGAGGCCTTGATGACAGCTGCTCATGTAGCAAGTCATTTCCTGAACAATGCGCGTCGCGACAAGACTCCAATCGAAATTATAACCGGTACGCAGCACTTACTCGAGCACTTTCGAGTATCTGGATCTACCGGGTACATGCGTCTCGACAAGAGCAAGAGGGCGAAATGGGACGCGAGGTTGTACCGGTGCATCTTCTTGGGATATGCTGACGGCTCGAAAACATACCGAGTATGAGACCTGAACAACAAAAGACTAGTCAAACGCGCACGGTGACGCTAACTGAGTGGTTGCCTGATCGTTATCATGATGCCATTTTCATTGATCGCGAAGATAGCCGAGCGAAGTACGCGCTTGAAGACGACGACGGGTTGAGTGCGCCGATATGTGCAAGTATACCCACTGCCACAGACATAAAGATCGATGGAACGGGAGATGACCTTATGTGTACGGAGATAGATAGCTCTGTTGTTTTAGAGGTCCCGGGGTCCCGGTGATAGGCGAGCCATTGTTATTCTAAAAAGCATCTCCGGATTGTTGCGTATGAAGGGGTTACCGCTCATGACCTGGATTCGGTTGTGCCAGACAGCCGCTAAACACATCACGCACATATATTGCCACACCATGTCGGCCATTGGGTACATCAAGGTCGTTGCTTCCTCCACAGACAAATCACTGAGCTGTTGGTCCATTGCGAGCGCCAATCTAGCTGGAGAAGTTGGTAGTCGAAGTGCGAAGATTGCTTCTAGAGGCTTGACTTGAAAGCTGACACCGAAGCCTTCTTATTCTCTGATCAGGTGGTCCCACAATCTCTTGGCGTGGGGGCATGTCTAGAAGACGTGAATCAGGTGAGTTCTGTCCGACCCTGAACATGTCTCATGTG